TTGCATGACTAGAGAATTCAGTAATTTAGTACTGAATAAGAGACTTGATCTGAACTAAAGATACATCAATTCACAATTAAGTGAATTGTAAAATACTGTTGACTGAAGATGGACACTTTTCTGAAAGAAAGTGTTCCACTTACTAAGACATGATTTCAAAACGAAACTCTGGAATATGTTGGTCATCCTCTCCTGGCTGCTGGCGGATCTCCGATCGGAATACTGGTGGTGAAGACTCTCTCCGCAATCTCCCCGTGTACTGAGATTCAGACATGGCATCCTTCAATGGAAAGCGTCGGTTTATCATCATGGCACGATCCGTTGTTGTCGATTGGCTCTTCTCCATCGCGGCGAATGTCAACCTGTGGTACCTGCAACTTTTTACTCCCTCCGAGGTTACACTTAACCTCAAGAAGAAGTCCCTCATGACTTAATATCTTCCACGATTTCTCAGATTCTTCAGAATTTGAGAATCGAGGCGCTGACATACTGAAAATGGTAGATAAGTCTTGTCTTACCAGACAGACTATCCTAGATCTTGTAATAACTGACCTGAATACTCTCATGGCTGAAAAACCATGACTCGACTCTCACATGGCTGATTCATCTATGTTCGAACTCTGAAAACTATCCCGAGACAACTTAAATAGTCGCTTCGGGACTGAAAACGTGATATTTACTGGCTTACTTGACTTGATAAGGTACGACTTCAAGTTTCCAGGTAAACCTGAACTAATGGTCTGTATATCAGACCGCTACCTTTTACCCGGCTGAACAACTATTATACATCGACCTTATATCATGAACATAAACTGTAAATTTGCGAACGTGAACTCTGTACTGTATAGGGCTGCTCTAGTATCAACTGGTCCCGCAAGTACAAAGTAATTAGCTGATCTAGACTTCTGAAAGTCATAACTGAAAATAGCATGACTGATAAAATATCTGACATGACTGACTTGAAAGGTTGTTATAACCTGAAATCTTACTGATTCGGCCCCAGCTTCAAGCCTCCATGGTATACCCGGCTGAGTGGCTCTTATTTCAAGCCTCCATGGTAACCCGGACTATTGACTCTTATACACTGGAAACCGTTACCTTAACAATGACTTGAGCATTATAACAACCTTTAACATGGAAATTCTTGCCTTGAACGTGACTTACTGATCTGACTTAGGAACTTTGAGTCTATTCCTCGAATTAAATCAAGGAATTTCTCCCTGAAGTCTGCCAATTGATTGACAAAATGGCAGTCCTCGATAAGAATTTCTGAGAAACATGATTCTTAATATTTGTTTAGCACAATGCTTACAAATTTTCTGACAAGTTACTAACTTGACTTTAATAAGTCTAGAATTGAATCTAGAGTTCTTAAACTCAATCCTTTTCTACGGTTCTGAATTCACTTGCCCCTGATACGGGGATTTCTTCGACCGAAGAATTTCTCAACATGATAGTCGCGGAACTGTGCGACTACTGTGGCTTGAATAAAAACTGAGTGATCGGGATCCCTACGGGACTGTATCTGAACATCGGGAAAAAGATTTAACATTACTGGATAAGCGATAGCATTACTGACTGATTACTAAGGCACACAGATCTCTTGACGAGTTGCCAACATTGGCCGATAATTACTGATGTGAAACCTGAAGAACTC